AGCAGCTCGTCCATGGCCCGCTCCAGGGCGCCGGTCGCCGCCGGCCGTCCACTCGACAGCCGGGGTCCCGGCGGCCGCGGCGGCCGCGGGGGAAGCCGAAGACGGAGGAGGCGCCGCACTGTCAGGCTTGGCCCGAGGACTCGCATGGCGCGGGGCGACAGCTGCCTGGGGAACACCGCCGCCGCGGCCGCGCTTCCGGCTTCCGGCGCCCACGCGGCCCATTGGCCGAGGCCGGGGGACGACAGGGGCGGCGGCCAATCGGAGGACAGAGAGGCGGGGGCGGGGCGGGGCGGCGCGCGGCTCGAGGCCAAGTGTGGCCAAAGGTAACCCGGACGGCGACCAATCCGGGAGCGGAGCGGCGGCGGCAGGGCGGGTGGCGACTTCAGGGGAGGCCCCTATCCGGTCACCTGGCCACCCAAAGTCACCGACTCAGTCTCTCTCCCTTTCTCTACGGCCGAGCTTTCCAACCCTAGGGAACATCACAGTCACCCAGGGAACGTGTTACGTACGTAGGTTCCTGGCCCTACTCCAGAGATTCTGATCCAGTGTGTCTGGGGAGGAGCCAAGGAATCTGCGTGCCTATGAAGTATTCGTGGTGGTAATTCTCTGGCAAGGTAGCCTTTGTCTTGACCGCCGCCTAGGCGCTCTCAATTACACAGATGACTCCCAGGACTGCAGCCCTCCTCTCTCCTGAGCCGGGAACTACTGCAGAGCTTTCTCACGGATGCGGCAAACGGGGCTCTCCTAAGCACTTTGCTCCCCAACCTGTCCCTCATTCCTTCGTCCTCATTCATTCAACAGTGTTTATTAACTGCCTGGTATGTGCCAGGTCCTATACTAGCATGGGGATAAAATAATTAATGACACAGATCTGAACGTGCCCCATGGACTTTACAGTCTAAGGAAGGAGACAGAAGATAACAAAACTACAAACTGTGGTAAGTGCTATAAAGGAAATCAACAAGGTGAAATGATACAGCAGGGCCGGCATGGACTACCAATTGTGGGCAGGGTCATCAGGGAGGGTCTCTCGGGGGAGGTGATTTTTTAAACTGCGACCTGAAGCTAGTTATGTGTTGGGGGCTTGGGGCGGGGGCAGAGAGAAGAAGCTGATCTATCCGTTCTTCCAAGTTCAAAAGCACCGTCTTTTTAACCTCAGCCCTTCATCCCAACATCTGTTTTACTGATTCTACTTTAAAAAGACCCTTGCATTCATCTCTTCTCTCTAGGCCATTGCTCCTATAGCCCCTGTCACTTATCACCTGGGCCACTGCAGTAGCCTCTCTGCTTCCAGACTTGATTCCTCCAGCCATTTCTTTGCATCAGCTGCTGGGAACTTTCTAAACTATCCACCTAGCTATGTTTTCACTTGGTTAACAACCAAATACTTT